AAACCGTAATTGATAAAAAAAAGGGACTGTGTTGAGTAGATTCATGCACCTGATTGTTGTGCGCAAATTCTCAACCCAATCATCTTGATGTTCCGAAGTAAAACAGCAGATATACTGTTCTAGACATTGATTCATTCTTTCCGTAACCCCATTTGATTGGGGATGGTAGGAAGAAGAAAGACTAGATACCCAATTGTTTACAAAATGCTCTCCAGAACTGTGAAACAAATTGCAGGCCCCTGTCGGAAACAATATCTTGGAGTATGCCATGTAAACGGACAACTTCGCTTATAAACACAGAAGCCAGTTCGGAAGAAGAAGGTAATTTGACAAGTGGGACCAGATGGGACATTTTAGAGAATCTGTCTATAATAGTCAATATGACGCTGTGATTCATAGAACGAGGCAGGTCCACTACAAAATCCAGGGCAATACTCGACCAGGGTGTATTTGGAATTGGCAATGGCATGAGAAGGCCAAAAGGACGGCCTCTGGGAGATTTAGTCGAGAAACAGATACTACATGCAAGAACGAATTCACGAACATCTTTCTTGTATGAAGACCACCAGAACGGTTTCTCAAGCAACGATTCAGTTTTATGTATTCCTGGGTGCCCTGCCAATTTGGAATCGTGCACAAGGGATAGGACTCTATTGCGATAGGTTAAGGGCACGTACAATTTTCCCCGAGGAACAGTCAATGAAGAACGATCCTGGAATTTAGAAAGTTCTCCCATCAATCCCGAAGAGATTTTAGCATGTACAGTGGCTACTATGTAGTCAGTAGAGATTGTGGAAGACAATAAGTCTTCGGGAGGTGATAAATGTTCATATTGGCGGGATAGGGCATCAGCTTTCGTATTTTTCGATCCCGGTCTATATGTCACAATGTAATTGAAACGGGTTAGAAATAAAGAACACCGGATTTGTCTGTCGGACATTTTTTTGGCTTCTCCAAAATAAGAAAGGTTCTTATGGTCAATAAGAATGGTGATAGGGACGGGTGACCCTTCAAGCAAGTGACGCCATTCCTTAAGGGCAGAAATAATAGCCAACAATTCCCCATATCCTATATCCAGCCCGCTGGAGATGATGATTTAGTAATAAACCCTTTTCTTAAATTTTCTGTAAAGTATTCTTCTAATACTTTATTCTCAGCTATAGAAAGGGGATATACAGTGCCTCTAGGGGGCATAGTGCTGGGTAACAGGTCGATGGCACAGTCATATGCACGGTGAGGTGGTAATTTTTTTGCCTCTCGTGGTTCAAAGACAGCTTTAAGATCAGAATATTGTTTGGGTATCTGAGTGGTCAAAGGTTCCATAGTAGGTATATTAATCAGACCTACTGGTTTAATTGGGGTAATGCACTTTCTGAGACAAGAATTTCCCCATTTTAGAATTTATTTTCTTTCCCTGTCTATTGAAGGATTATGCTGGGAGAGCCAAGGGAAACCAAGAATAACAGGAAAATTGGGAGAAGTTATTTGTTGCAGGGTTATAACCTCCTTAGGAAGGAAACCTATGGAAAATACCAGAGGAGTAGTTTCTTGAGTGATCAGAGGTACCGACAGTGGTCTACGCTCTATGGCCTCAACGGCCAAGGGTGCGGATCTATTTTGGAATGGAAGAGCATGTTTTTTACCGAATTCGTGATCCACAAAATTCTCGGCTGCCCCAGAATCTATTAAAGCAATGGTTGATACCTTTTTTCTTTCCCATTGAATAGTTACTGGTAGAAGAAGCCTAAGATCTCTCTTATCATTGAAGGAGGACATACACATAACACCCAATGCCTGTCCTCCTTGAGGGCTTAGGTGCGGGAGTTTTCCGGTCTGTTAGGACATGTAAAGCGGGAATGTCCTTTCTTACCGCAATACAAGCATAACCCCTCCCTTCTACGGTATTGTCTCTCTGTCTCAGACAATCGTGTAACTCCTAATTGAATTGGCTCGGGAGGAGCAACCGTTGTTGTCTCAGAAGAGGGATAAGTCAAGGCTAGGCGTTCCGGCACCCTTCTAGGTCTTTCCCTAGTGTTTTGCCTATGCCGGAGTAGTTCATCAATGTGAGCAAGCTAAGTGATCAGTTCCTCCAGAGTATTAGGTAAATCTCTGGTAGCTACTTCATCAAAGAGTTTGTCAGACAAGCCATTCATGAATACATCTACAAACGCTTGTTCGTTCCACCTAACCTCAGCAGCAAGAGTACGGAATTCCAGAGCATAGTCAACTAGGGAACGTGGGCCTTGTCTCAAATGTAACAGAGTTTTGGCAGTGTTAGTCCTTTTCCCTGGGGGGGGTCAAAGGTTCTCCTAAAAGCTGCGACAAATTCAGCATAGTTAAAAACTATTGGGTTGTCATTCTCCCACAAGGGATTGGCCCAGACTAATGCTCAATTTATAAATAGGGTGAATATATAGCCAATTTCAGCCCTGTCAGTTGGATATGCTCTTGGGTGGAGTTTGAAATAAATGCTGTTTTGGTTCAAGAAACCCTGACACCCCTTAGGATCACCCCCATATCGAAGAGGGGACGTAGATTAGAAGAGCTTGCAGCAACCATTTCTATAGGGTGTTCCTGAAGTCTCTGGGTAGGGATTTGATCCTCCGGTTGGAGATGAGCGGTACGGGTTAGTAAGGTTTGTACGGCTAGAGCGATCTGGTCCATATGATGGTCCAGTTCCTCAAACTGATTATCCGGTACTGGCCCAAGAGGGTTAACACCTGCAGGGTCCATGGTCCTAGTGTAATGTCATGACAGTGACCCCTTCTCACAGAGTGTAACCCAGAGTAGAACATATACCGGACCTTAGAGTGGCCGGACTAATGTTTAGAGTAGTCAAATGGATAGCCAGAGATCAAGGGAGTACAGAAGACAGATAAACGATATAACCTAGCCAAAGTAAGGGAAACCAGAGAGCAGAATAGTCAAAAGGGAAAGCCAAAAGTAAATAACCAGGAAATCAACACTTAAGGAGATTATAAGCACTAGAGGAACCAACAAGGGATAGGACTCTAGCACTAGGACGCCTTACAAGTGACAGGGACGCCCTTTTATAGTGTGGGGTATATTGCTTTAAAACCACGCCCCCAAAAGGTCCAGGGGCGTGATCGCGTGTGACGTACGTCGGCATTTACTTGCAGGCTACGTCAGAAGGGCTGTGCTGCTCACCGGAAGAGGATGCCGTGCGGCACGGGACCGAGGAGGAAAGGTAAGGCATTGTTACATATATCCTCTCACACAAACCCCACTTTTTCTGGCAGGGGTGTCCGGCAAATCATGTCATTTTTATCACTCTACACCATTCCACACGCTCAGTCCAGTGCTACAAGATAAGAAAATAAAACCACTATCCGAGATCCTCCCGACACAGACCCTCACGGGCACTCAGCACTATCATTACACTCATTTTATCCTTGGTACTAAATTATTTCCCGATGATAGTAAAGCTCTAACGAAATTGAAGCAACTATGTTCAACTCATCCCTTGCAAAAGAAAATTCTCTCTACCATGTACAATCGCCTACTATCCATACATGCACAAAAACCTCCCATTTTATACTGACAAGTGGACTAGGGAACTACCGGCACACATACAGATAGAACAATGCAAGGCAATATTCCTACAAGCACACAAATCCTCCATGTGCGTTACCATACAAGAAAGCAATTACAGGCACCTCACCCGCTGACACTACACCCCAGAAAAACTCCATAAATTGAACAATACCACACCTGATGCCTGCTGGAAATGTCACTAGCCTAACACAGATTCATCTATGGTGGCACATTTTGGAAACTCATACATTCACTAATTACCACAACGCAAATCCCATTCACGCTGGAGAACATCCTACTCCTCCTACCCCCAAGACACAACACAGACAGAAATGATCTTGACAACTCACCTTTCACCCACTTAGCATCAACTTATTCCAGCCCATTGGAAACAAGCAAATCCTCCCACAGTAAGGGATTGTATCCAAGATAAAATAAATGGAAGAAATAACATATAAAATCCATTTCAAAACAATACTAAAAATTCACACAAATCTGGGGACTGTGGGCTACCTTCATCCAGTCTGTTGCACATATGTCATAGACGCTGATTTCTGAGTCGAAACAAAGACGGATGTCCCCACAATGACCGACACTGATTTCATCTAAACCTGTGGTCAACACTCACAAACATGAATACAACTACATTTTCACTACTTCATGCTTTGTTAAATTACCATATTTGCTTATGTACCCTTGATTAACTTCTTATATTTGTTACAATATTCATTTGTTGAAAGGTCCAGAAATGTGTAGTCTACAGTGTTCTCAGAAATTCATTGGTGTTTTAAAATGTTGTTAATTTTTTTTTTTTTGTATTTTCACCTTCATCACAACCCCCAGCAGTCATTCAGATAGCAAGTCTAACAACTTTCTAAAAAGAAATAGCAATCGTATCCATATTTTTCATTCTGTATCTTAACTTTCAGAGCTGAGTGCATGAGTTGGATTTCCCACAAAGCTGTTGTAGGTCTGAAAATACCAGCATGTAGCAATTCTTCACTGTTTACTGTTAGACTGACCCTGTGTCAGTTCTTCAAATTTTTCAGGTCTATTTTGTGATTTAATGATGAACTTTACATAGTAGTTGAGCAGATATGAATGCTGAATTATATTACTTAAATCACTGCTCTTTAACACAAATGCTAGATAACTTTGTTTGCATTCCAACTATTCTCTATAAAAAAGTATTTAATTGAAAAATGTTCAACACTAACCTCCTTGTTAGAGCTGAACAAGAAAGGGAAGTTTTTAAGAAAAAAAGGAAAGTATATAATATAATAAAAAATGCATTTTTAGTTAATGCATAACTTTAAAATAGAATTACCTTTTAGCAAAAACATAATAAAGCTAGAAAATTGCTCTATCACTGCTGTAACCCTTGACCTTCCAATTATTCTAATGCAGGTGATAAAAAAAAAATAAAGCACAGGCGAATGTTTTTAAATCATATGTATTTAATGCAACAACATGTGTACAGTGTAATTATCTGTTTTGCAGCAAAACAAACAAACAGAAAAACATCTCAGGATAATATAATTTCTAATTAGGTTCTAAACATATACAGGAAATGAACAAAAGGACTCACAACACAATGAGTCCAATATACAAGGTTTATTAGGAAAAACAGCAATGTTGCAATCCTAAAATTAGTTTTATCAATCCCAAAGAACAATATAAAATACCAAATTTGGAATAATAAAAAAGCACAAATATTCCCGGTTTAATGTTGCCAAAAGAGAATGACAACGCATAACTCTGTCATTACGATAAACAGGGCCGGACTACAAGGGTGCACGACTACAATGTGTACTTTTCCTGTGTATATGAGAGCTTAGTCCTCCTAGATTGTGTGCATCAGAATCATTGAGGTGTTTTCTATTAGTGACTGCTGCCTTTATTAGTCTGTGTTTCTTTTTACATTTTCATAAAATTTTTCTATTATACCCATAATTGCGTTATTTGTTACATCAAAATGTGATCAGGAATACGTTTTGTGTAATCATGGAATTAAATTATTGACACAGCACATGACACAGTAATGTTATACATTCAAGTGTGAATTGCCAGGAATTGAAACTGAATTCAAAGTACCGTATATACTCGAGTATAAGCCGAGTTTTTCAGCACATTTTTTGTGCTGAAAAACCCCAACTCGGCTTATACTCGAGTCACTGTCTGTATTATGGCAACTTACATTGCCATAATACAGACTGGGGGCTGGCAGCGAGCGCTTACCTCTCCTGCAGCTCCTGTCAGCTCTCTCCTCCTCCGCGTCGGTCCGGGCAGCACCTCGGTCAGCTCCCAGTGTAAGTCTAGCGAGAGCCGCGGGGTCATAGTGCGGCTCTCGCGAGACTTACAGTGTGAGCTGAGAGAAGAGCTGCACGGACCGACAGGAGCTGCAGGAGAGGTAAGTAACAGCTCTGCCAGCCCCCCTCCTCCCTCCACTGAACTGCCAATGCCACTGGACCACCAGGGAAAGAGAGCCCCCCTCCCTGCCATGTATCAAGCAGGGAGGGGGGGGACAAAAAATAAATAAATTAATAATATATAAATAAAAATAAAAATAATAAAAAAATAATTAAAAAAAATAATAATATAACAAAAAAATTTAAAATAATATTATTATTTTTTTTATAAAAATGCCCACCCCCCACCAAGGCTCTGCAACACAAACACACAATGCATCACACACACACTGCACTCATACACACACACTGCACTCATATACACACACTGCACTCATACACACACTGCATTCATACACACACTGCATTCATACACACACACTGCACTCATACACACACACTGCACTCATACACACTCTGCACTCATACACACACTGCATTCATGCACACACTGCATTTATGCACACACACTGCACTCATACACAAACACTGCCTTCCTACACAAACACTGCACTCATACACACACACTGCATTCATACACACACTGCACTCATACACACACTGCACTCATACACAAACACTGCATTCATACACAAACACTGCACTCATACACAAACACTGCATTCATACACACACTGCATTCATACACACACCTCATTCATACACACACTGCACTCATACACACACTGCACTCATACACACACACTGCATTTATGCACACACACTGCACTCATACACAAACACTGCATTCATACACACACCCTGCATTCATACACACACCCTGCACTCATACACACACTGCGCACTCATACACACACACTGCATTCATCATATACACACGCTGTAAATAAATATTCAATTAATATAATTTTTTTAGGATCTAATTTTATTTAGAAATTTACCAGTAGCTGCTGCATATCCCACCCTAGTCTTATACTCGAGTCAATAAGTTTTCCCAGTTGTTTGGGGTAAAATTAGGGGCCTCGGCTTATATTCGGGTCGGCTTATACTCGAGTATATACGGTATATTTCAAACTATAGTTAATCGCAGAACTAAAAATACAGCTGACTTGAACTTTTTTCCTAGTTGGCTATTTGTGCCTAAAATTTTAAATTAACTTTCTGTTCACTTTGAATTCCAGACAACTCACACTGTAATAGATAATCATGTTGTGTTATAGGTTCTGCTGTTTAATTCATATTATTCATAGTTAAAAATATTATTAATATATGTATATACACACATATAAAAGTTTCAGAAACTCTGTTTTTCTCCCAGAACATGTATGATGCCTTCAAAAATAAAATATAAATTAATATTTTTTATATTTCTAATGTTTCATATACAGTTATCTATCGATGGTATCATATAATAATTTTATTTGTAGCAAACAAAAAAAAATATGATTATCATAATTTATATTAAAAATGTGCTACAAATCCACTAAGGAATGTATCATTCACCAGTTGATATAATGGATAGCTGTATGTGCAATGTCTTTTAAAGCATAGATTTGTTGTACATTTCTCCAATGCTATGTATAATTTACATGTACTTCATGGAAGAAAGCTTGACATTTGCACTCCTGTAAAATATTTATATAAAAAAATGTTCTGTTTAACTTTTTGTAAAATTCAATCAATAATTTTTTTTTAGATTCATTAAAACAGCTTTTGATAAACTGAAACTTTTAAAATAACATTTACATAGCAATACATTTCATTTTTTATGCTATTATGTGTTTTGTGATCACAATCACGGTTAATGTTTGTATGAGAGCAGTGAACATAGAGAATGTTTGAGTTGATGATCCGGAAGTAGTAGCTATAAAAGACAAATAAACAATACATGAGTTTAAACATCAATACTATAGTACAGCAACATATTAACAGAAAATCAAATCTATTGTTGTGACAATGACTTATGATAAGCATGTTATACAAAAAGAACACATTATATCTTATCATTATTATCTGTAGTGTTATCCCCGCTTGATTGATGACTGCTGGTGTAATTTACATTTAGAAAATGTATTTAATATTAAAGGGGTACTATAGTCAACAAAAAAACTTTAGTTTATTGAAACAGCTTTGGTGTACAGATCACACCCCTGCAGTCTCACTAGTCAATTCTCTGCCATTTATGAGTTAAATCACTTTGTTTATGCAGCCCTAGTCATGCCTCTTTTCATGTGACATACACAGCCTTCTTAACACTTCCTGTAAAGAGTAATCTAATGTTTATACTACCTTTATTTCAAATTCTGCTTAATTAAGAATTGTGTTTATTCTGCACCGTTAATAGCTTGCTAGACCTGCAAGAGCCTCCTGTGTGAGACTAAAGTTCAATTTACAGAGCAGGAAATAAAAGCTTTTAAAGTAATTTAACATGTGAATGAAAATGAAACCATTTTATTTTCATGCAGACTGTGTCAGTCACAGACAGGGAGGTGTGACAAGGGCTGCATAAACAGAAAAAAAATTGGTTTTACTCCTAAATGGATGAGAATTAAGTAGTGAGACATCAGAGGCATGATCTATACACAAAAACTTGAATTAAAAATAAATTTTAACTTGTCAATAATTATTTGCCATTGCAGTAACATAAAGTGCCCTTTAGATTAATGGAATAACATAAGTGTACAATTCTCATGTACATATATCACTTTTAAATTATGAAATAAGGTCTACTAAGAACCAACATTTTGAAATAAAGACTACCAAATCATTAAGGTCTCCTAGGACAAAGACATCTCAGTTAAAATTAAGTTTCTCAACTTTGTAACTATGTATCTATCATAAAACAATGTATTTATAGTACAAAACCATATGAAATAACCCCCAGTATTCTACCTACAGTAGTCTAATAACCAATACTGACACTGCTTCCTCAACTAAATATGTTCTACAAATCTGTACATACCTTGGGTGGTTCGAGCTTGTGTAGTTGAAACTGAAATTCAATAACAGGAATATTTTAATTAAATATACAAAAATAGCAAGTAATGGCAGATTGGTTCAATAGTATAAACAGACTTTTCAAATGATGATTCAACTGTGGGCAAGTCTGCAAATTTTAGACATGTGTAGGAAGTCCATTGAAAGACTAAGTTTAATGCCAATCTCACATGTGCTAGAGTTTATTAATTAATATCTCCAGGAGAGCTAAAAAAATAAATGTTTAAAAATATAATGTAACATCACAAAAAAAAAAACATCAAAATTAAATCATTATGCTAACGGCATGAATTATGTAGGATTATGTAGGGAAAATAGTTATGTTTCAACTCTATTGACCTCCAGCAGCTGTCAGCTGACATTGATTCACAACTGCTATCCATCCCTTCCCTCTCCTGTCCCTCACTGGCCGTCTCCACATACAACACTACCCTCACATCTGCCTTGAACGCTGCAGCCCCTCTCAAAACATGCACCTCGAGGAGGACACGTCCCCAACCTTGGCATAATAAATCGACATGCTATCTGCAGAGTTGCTCCCGTTGTGCTGAACGCTCCTGGAGGAAGTCCCGCACCCAGGCAGACTTTCTCCATTATAGATTCATGTTGCTTTCATACAGCGCAGCCCTTGCCCTCGCCAAACAGTCATACTTTTCCTCTCTCATTAGTTCATGCTCCCGCAATCCCAGACGTCTCTTTGACACCTTTAATTCCCTTCTCCGCCCTGCTGTGGCCACCCCCCAAACTAACCTTGCAGCTGATAGCTTTGCATGCTACTTTACCGACAAGACTGAACAGCTAAGGAAACAAATCTCCCCTCCTTGCCGTTCTCTTTCTCAACCACATGTAAATCTTGCTTTCCCTACCCTCCAGACTTTCTACCCGGCTACTGAACAAGAGGTGGCTGCGCTTCTCCATTCCTCTCGCCCCACCACTTGCCCGCTCGATCCTGTCCCATCTCACCTCATCAGATCTCTCTCCCCTTGTCTTGTGCCTACCCTAACACACATCTTTAACTGCTCTCTCTCTTCTGGCACGGTTCCTGCTGACCTTAAACATGCCACTGTAATACCTATCCTGAAAAAAACATCTCTTGACCCATCCTCCCCTTCTAACTATCGTCCCATAACCCTGCTCCCTTTCTCATCAAAGCTTTTGGAAAGACTTGTCTTTACCCGTGTGTCTCGCTTCCTTAATTCAAACTCTCTACTTGACCCTCTTCAGTCTGGCTTCCGCCCTCTCCACTCTACTGAGACTGCTCTTATCAAAGTGACTAATGACCTAATCTCCGCTAAATCCAAAGGTCACTACTCCATATTAATTCTCCTTGACCTCTCTGCTGCCTTTGACACCGTTGATCATGCTCTCCTCCTTCAAACTCTTCATTCGCTCGGTCTCTGTGACTCTGTCCTCTCTTGGTTTTCCTCCTATCTCTCCCAACGTTCGTTCAGTGTCTCCTTTTCCAAGGATACCTCCTCCCCTCGTCCTGTCTCGGTCGGAGTTCCCCAAGGGTCTGTCCTTGGTCCCCTCCTATTTTCTCTTTATACTGCCTCTCTAGGTAAACTTATTGCCTCTTTTGGATTCCGCTACCACCTGTATGCTGATGACACTCAGATATACCTCTCCTCCCGGACCTCTCCCCTGCCGTCCTGCAACGTGTCACTGCTTGCCTTTCTTCCATCTCTGACTGGATGTCCTCACGCTTTCTGAAACTTAACCTCTCTAAAACTGAACTCCTTGTCTTTCCTCCTCCTAATACTGATCCTCCTCTCTCGCTCTCCCTTCAACTCAGTGATATCCACATAAGTCCATCCCTGCAAGCGCGCTGTCTTGGTGTCATACTTGACTCTGGTCTCACCTTTGAGCCTCATATCCAGTTTGTTGCCAAGTCCTGTAGGTTCCAACTCAAAAACATAGCCCGCATTCGCCCCTTTCTTACGCAAGATGCTACCAAGGAGCTTGTCCATGCTCTAGTAATTTCCCGCATGGATTACTGTAACCCTCTCCTGATTGGTCTCCCCAAAAGCCGTATTGCCCCGCTACAGTCTGTCATGAATGCTGCAGCTAGACTGATCTTCCTCTCTAGTCGGTCCTCTCACACCTCACCCCTCTGCCAGTCCTTACATTGGCTCCCTGTATGCTATAGGAGTCAATTCAAAGTGCTAACCCACACATTTAAAGCACTGAACAATTCTAGCCCCGCTTATATCTCTTCACTAATCCATAGATATGCCCCTCCTCGTACCCTCCGCTCTGCCCGTGACCACCTCCTGACCGCAGCTCGCACCCGTACGGCCAACTCGCGCTTGCAGGACCTCTCGCGGGTGGCACCTCTTCTATGGAATTGCTTGCCTACTGCCATCAGACTCTCCCCTAGTCTTCAATCATTTAAGAAGGGCCTTAAAACCCATCTCTTCAGGAAAGCTTATGGCCTCCCAGAGTAATCTCTACCTTACATACCTGTCTCCTGCTCTCTCCTATGGGACAGTGCTTTGCTCTCTCCTCCAGCTCTGCTTCACCCCTACTTGATATTTCTTGTCCTAATGTTTCTAATACCCCACCTCCTATAGTCTGTAAGCTCATTTGAGCAGGATCCTCTTCAACCTATTGTTCCTGTAAGTTTTCTTGTAATTGTCCTATTTATTGTTACATCCCCCCTCTCAAAATATTGTAAAGCGCTACGGAATCTGTTGGCGCTATATAAATGATAATAATAATAATAATAACAGAAAACCTCACATGGGACAAAAAGTATTAAAGATGTCAAGTGCTGGAAACAACACTGCTCCCAGATATGTGTCAGTTCCTCTTTACAAATTCTCCCCAACTTGTATGAATTGATATTTATTCCCAGGATCAATACTTTTCCTCCTTTCTAAAGTAGTTTTTGCTTATTTCTACATGATAAATCATACTTTAGATCCATTGCTTGCTGGACATTTCTATAATTGTTACTAATTTGGTCAAATTTATGATGTAGGAAAATTATAGTTGAGGAATCCTGTAATATTTTCTTATATTTAGTTGTACTAGTTACGGTGAACCTGTGAATTGTGTAGCTTGATAAATATAACATCAATGGAACACTATAGTATACAAACATTTATTCAATACACAATAATGTCCTGCTACTAAAGTGCCCACCTTACACCCAACATGTGAGGGTTTAAAAGCAGGCAAAATTCCTCACTGTGCCAATTAAATGCCACCCTATGAGCAGCATTTTATCTTTAGCTGAGTTTGCTCAGTTATAGCAGAGGAAGTGCTTATTCTGGCTGTCAGGAAGACAGCCACTAAAGACATATTAAACCTGCAATGTAAACATGACAATATTTTACATTGCGAGATTGGACAGATGGCGCACTCCCCCCAGACCACTTCAATGAGATTAAGTGGTCTGGATTTCTCGAATGTCCCTTTTACAGTGAAATTTTACTTTCAATACATAAGTGAGCATGTTGGATCTTACACAACGCAATGAGTGTTTTGAAAATTAATAAATACAAGTAAATAATTGTATCAACCATAAACACTATATAAAAAACAGTGTTTGCATCATTACCAGTGGTGGTATTGGCTTGTGTACTTGAAACTGAAATTGAAAAAGACACATATTGAAATGATTCAATATATATATGCAACAGTAATAAGTAATTGTAGAGAGGTCTAATACTACAAACACATTTTCAAACTCATTAGTACAATGATTACACTAGAGGCATGTTTTCAATTTAAGGACAATTAGGCAAGTCTACTACAAGACTAGCAAATCTTAAATACATGTAAAAAACATAATTGAAACTTTCCATCAGAATTCTTCATTCAAATCTTCATTTGTTAGGCTCCAAATAAGGCCAAATAAAAATCCATAGAACCAAGACTTAAAATATGAAAAAAGCATAACAAGCAAAAAAACTTTGCCTCTAATTAGAGTTGCCTTGCAATGCAATACCAGGCAGGATTTGTGATAGGTGAGAGTTACCACTCACAGTGCCCTGATTTTCTGTTATTAAGTTATCAGTTATTAATGATTTTTATTTGCCTTTTTTAAGCTAAAATAACAGCCTCTATTGTTCCCCTTCACTGTTATTACTGTTGCTTTTTATACAATACGAGATCACAAATATACAATACGAGATCACCCCATGGCAACGCTCCGGGTCCCGTGAGAGTGAACTCTAGCCCCACAGGCTAGAGTTCACTCACCACTAGGACCACCATGGATGGCAACTGCACGACCTCCCCTCCTCCCAGGCTAAAGGTAAGAAGGGAGGGGGGACATAATCACACACTGCATGTTGACACTCACAGTACTCTCACTCACACATACACACACTGCACCCCTGACAATCACAGCACCCTCATTCACACACAGTATACACACTGCACCCCACACACAGCACCCTTACACATATCACCCACGCACACACAGAGCACAATACTCTTTCCTGTCATTTTTGTCTCCTGGTATCCCATCTATGGAGACACCAGAGACAAATTTCAAGCAAACACAGTTCAAGCATGTTATTAAATTTGCTTGCACTGTGCAGAACAAATACAGGGTCTTTTTCTCATGCTAGAGCTCCTCAGCAGAGCTCTGCACATGGTCTAACCTGGAAGAGCATTGAACCAACATGCTCACTTTGTGATGGGGCATACTTGTCATTGGTGATGACAAAACACACCCTATCTGGCCCCGCCCCCTTTTTAGTTTAGTTAAAAAATGCCCAGGCCAAAATTTTTTCCCAGTCCGGCCCTGTTAGCTATTTAAAAGTAAAGTCAACAGTGACTTTTGATAAAAGGATAACAATTATTTTTATGCAATACAAAATCACAAATATATGATTTGACGCATACATTTTATATGGAATACCAAAGGAAGCATAATGGATTTCCATTCATACACTATGTGTCAATGACGTTCTGCAAATTGTTATTAAACATATATACATCAAAACAACGGTTGTACTGTTACCTGTGGTGACATTAGCATTTGTAGTTGGAGCTGAAATTCAAAGAGACAAATATGTTAGTAATTCAATTTAATATGCAACAGTAACAGGCAATTGTAGATAGTTCTAATATTACAGACATAAAAGATTATAAAAATCAGAAGGCTGTCAGCTAAATGATTCCATGGCTTACGCATTTTCTCCTGACAGTAGCCCAGTAATGCATTACAAAGCAGTTCTCATGACAGGTTACACTTGAGATTGCCTCTCAAAAAAAAGTTTTGCTACATACCCAACTAATCCGATAACTGACTGCTAATTTAAACATAAGGATGCCATATTAAAGGTAAAAAAAATTACTACGCACAGAGACCTCCACAGAATTATTATTATAATTCTTTTTTTTGCAGTATTTTATTTATATGTTTTTAGTTTTTAAGTCTAGTCAGTTATTATTGATTTTTAATTTTCCCTTTTTAAGGCTAAAAAAAAAGATTTGAAAAAGGATGACTTTAGATGACAAGTTTTGATGGCTATTCTAGATCCATTGTACCCCTTCACTATTATTATTGTTAGTTTTTTTTACAATACAAAATCACAAATATATGATTTAATAGATAAAGTTTATTTTTAATATATATATGTGTTTGATGGATTTTAATTTGTACAATAGGTATCAAAGATGTATTGAAAATCTTTATCAAACATTTACATCAAAAAAACAGTTGTACTGTTACCTGTGGTGGCATTAGCATTTGTAGTTGAAGCTGAAATTCAAAGAGACAAATTGTTTAATTATTCAATTTAATATGCAATAATAACAGGAAATTTTACATGAAATTAGGTTTTATATTTTGCATTAAACAATCTTTACTGAAGTCCAGCAGCACAGATCATTAACAGGAAAAACATCCAAAAAACAGTTGATATTTAAGGCCCTCACCTCTCAAGCACTTTCCCCTTCTTTGCTGCTCCTGCTGTGCACAGGCCATTGTATTTTGATCCTTTATGACTTTATCATACTATTTACTTTCTCATTTATTTTGTGCTTCCTTGTTTTTGGCACACATATTTAATTGATTTTAAAAGGTATTTTTATGGACGTTCTAGTCTCAAAATGTAATGAATATGGGAAATGGTTTATGTGGATTGCATTGAGATTTATGGATGTCATTTAATTGATATGTCTTACAATGCACACAAGTGTATATATGTACCACAGTGTTCCTGGGAGTAATTTATGCCAGATTATGCTGTGTCCCCATGACACGTCAACTGGGGTCACTACCCCATATGATATTGGTTGCCCCAGTGAGGCAGTTTATTGACAGGGGTGACCCCCTTCCAGGTACCATTCCTATTACTGTGTTTTCCAATCTATATACTGGATAATACAATGGAGCTTCACTGTGCAACTGGGGTGAACTCAAATATCGATTTCATTACCTAGCTGCACTGTTGGCAACAAGTGTGAGGGTGACCCCCTCAGTGGTACTTTTTCAGCCTGGCAGGGAACTTATAGGGTTGACCCACTTTTATATGAGACTGATATTGTCTCCTATTAATTAAAGGGAAGCCCACTTTGGTACGTGTCTATCGCTTATGTTGGTTGTTTTAGAGGATGACTTCCTCTCTTCACTGGCACTACTACTAAATTTCTCCACCAGAGAATGGATGCCTGCCTTCTCCAGGTGAGCACCAGCTGTATTGGGAACCTGACACCCTGTGCTTTTACGCATTTCCCACTGACTACTTTGCTTGCGCTCTAATCATGGGTGACTTGTCACAATTTACTCAGTATTTTCAGGTGATAATCAATGTTGCTGTCGGAGGAGATGGTCTTGAAGGTGCTGACCCACATGCCAGTGGAGTCTGTTGGTTAAGGGAAAACTATACCACACAACCTAGAGCAACTATACCACACAACCTCTTCGGCACTCCAGATGTTGTGGACTACATCCCCCATAATGCTTTTACACCCATAAGGCTGGCAGAGCACCATGGAAGGTGTAATCCAAAACATCTGGAGTGTCAAAGGTTGCCTATGCCTTATCTAGAGGATGATTGGGCTCCGAGACTTCTAGGGATAATATACCTTTGGCTAACTCCACTGGAACGGAGCTGAATTGAATTTCCAGAAATCTAAGGCAAAGGCCACAATTAAATAGCCTAAATAGATGGAGATGCAAGCCCTGCCTCCTTATCCATTGGCATCCTTGGTTGTGGTAGACAAATGTCGAGCAGACGGATCGGCTTCAGAGGAGAAAGAATGGCAAGACATACCACAGACAGAGACTCGATCTGTCAGGTAATCTATAGAGGATGATTCTTCCCACAGAAAGGATACCCAAAAGCCACTGGCTTCCAGGGACTCTCAATGGATGCTGTTTTTTCAACCCCACTCAAGCATCTGAGATTGGAATCGTGCCTCCCAGGCCATCTCACTTTATTCCCTTCTGGCTGAGAAAGCAATTGGAGAAGAAGGTGTGCATGCACCTGTGGGCCAAATGCCCTCGCCCGCTGCTCCGAAAGTAGCGTACACTCCCGAATTTTACACTACGGTAGTGGGCCTTATATCCTGGATGGGTCATGGCTTCCGCAAGAGGATTGAAAAGGACTTTTTGGATGGATGCCTGCCTTCTCCAGGTGAGCACCAGCTGTATTGGGAACCTGACACCCTGTGCTTTTACGCATTTCCCACTGACTACTTTGTTTCCCAGTCGGGAACACGCTTACGCTCTAATCATGGGTGACTCGTCACAATTTACTCAGTATTTTTAGGTGATAATCAATGTTGCTGTCGGAGATGATGGTCTTGAAGGTGCTGACCCACATGCCAGTGGAGTCTGTTGGTTAAGGGGAAACTATACCACACAACCTAGAGCAACTATACCACACAACCTCTTCGGCACTCCAGATGTTGTGGACTACATCCCCCATAATGCTTTTACACCCATAAGGCTGGCAGAGCACCATGGAAGGTGTAATACAAAACATCTGGAGTGTCGAAGGTTGCCTATGCCTTATCTAGAGGATGATTGGGCTCCGAGACTACTAGGTATTATATATCTTTGGCTAAACTCCACTGGAACTGAGCTGAATTGAATATCCAGAAATCTAAGGCAAAGGCCACAATTAAATAGCCTAAATAGATGGAAATGCAAGCCCTGCCTCCTAATCCATTGGCATCCTTGGTTGTGGTAGACAAATGTCGAGAAGACAGATCGGCTTCAGAGGAGAAAGAATGGCAAGACATACCACAGACAGAGTCTCGATCTGTCAGGTAATCTATAGAGGACGATTCTTCCCACAGAAAGGATACCCAAAAGCCACTGGCTTCCAGGGACTCTCAATGGATGCTGTTTTTTCAACCCCACTCAAGCATCTGAGATTGGAATCGTGCCTCCCAGGCCATCTGTCTTTATTCCCTTCTGGCTGAGAAAGCAATTAGAGAAGAAGGTGTGCATGCACCTTTGGGCCAAATGCCCTCGCCCGCTGCTCCCAAAGTAGCGTACACTATTTTACACTACGGTAGTGGGCCTTATATCCTGGATGGGTCATGGCGTCCGCAAGAGTATTGAAAAGGACTTAAAAGCTGCCCAAGACAAACTTCTGGATATCCTCGGTCCTCTGGATAAAATTGCTATACTTTGCTGATCTGGATCTCTCACCAGACACGCAATTCAACCCAAATGACATCCGAGAGTGGGCTCAGCATTCAATCTGCATGCTTGGCAATACAAACACTGCTCTTTTTACAGAACATCGCAAGTCCGCTCTTCTGAAGATAGACACAAAGCTACTTGGGTAAGAAGGAGCTAAGACCCTTTGCTAATGGGCTCCTATCTGGAGAATCCTTTATCACCGAATTAAAGAGGCATGTGAACCTTTTCACCACTCTGAATAAAGTGCAAACCTCTATGAAAGTAGTTTTTTGACCATCTCCTGACAGTAGTGTTTTTTGCAGAGCTGTTTGGCAGAGGGGCCAAGCCATCAGCTATTTCTAGTATACCGGAACAAACACTCCATCCTCATCCTTCTTTCCATTCAACATTGCCACTTTCCATAAAGGAACAGAGAGGACAAGACGCAATAGAGGCAGAAGCTATGCATTCTTCTTTGATTCTATCTTCTACTGATTTAACTGCAGGCATATTACAGAATTGAAGAGCAATCTTTGTGACACCTGGGTCATTCAGACATCATTGAGTTCCACTCTGTTTCCACATAAACTTGTCCTCCGCATCCCTTATGCATGTCTGAGGTACACAGGTCCCTCATCAATGAAAACATTTGTGCTCTGTTCTCTAGAGGTGCAGTGTGCAATTCACACCAGATGGGACAGGTTTACAGGCAACATTTTTCAATGACTTCAGACTTACGACCTTTCCTCAATTTATGTCAACTTAACAACTTTGTGATGTAATGACACTTCAAGATGGAAGGAATCCATTTTCTGTGGAAGCATCTCTGAAGAACAACTTGTTCACTTGTCTCGATCTAAAGGATGAGCACCTCTTGATTCTTAGCCATAGCTTTCTCCATTTCATTTGGTGGGACTGACATTGCCAGTTCATGTGTCTGACTTTCGGACTCAGCTCTAAAGAACATAAACAACGCAATGCTTAAAATCTCAGTGTTTATGTTCAAGTCAGTCATGCGATTACTTGGTGCCTTTTTTGCTGGAGTTTCAAATGTAGCTCCATTGGTGACTGCTCCACATTCAGACTGGATTTCATCGTAGAGTTGGACGCCAGCCTTCAGGGTTTCCAGATCTGCTGGAACTGTCTCATGACCACCCTCTTATCCTGCCATTGTTTTCTCTTCTTTCTCTTTCTTGCCAGAAGGCGTGTCCTTTTTAGTCTTGTGTCATACAAAGACAAAGTCTACCTTAGTTTGGTTTTTTTTCTGAGAATTGCCTCAACTGTGCGTGGTCAACATGTTATTCTGTTACACGGAGGTCACCGTGTCCTTTTAATGCATAAGATGGTAAGCATGAAACATTTTTCTTTGTGGTAATTCAGATTTTTTTTAGTATGTGTTTTACAAATACTTAATTTAACACATTAAGTTCACTTTCAATTTATATATGTGAGTTTGATGGATCTCAATTCATACAATATGTGTCAATGATATTCTGCAAATTTTTAGCAAACATGTACTTTAAAAGAACGGTTGTACTGTTACCTGTGGTGACATTAGCATTTATAGTTGAAGCTGAAATTCAAAGAGACAAATATATTAATGATTCAATTTAATACACAACAGTAACCAGTAATTGTAGGTAATTCTAATACTACAGGCAGATTTAAAAAATTAGAAGATTATAAATTAAATGATTTCATTAGGGGTAGACTTTTTTTTTTTTTTAAAAAGGGGGAAGTCCATTACAAAGGCTAAATAATTTACATATCTGTAAAAGCTAGTTCATGCCTTTCTTCAAAATGTTTTTTTTTAAATATTGATTTTTTTTAGGGCTTGAAATGTCAAAAAATAATCCCTACTGCATAATATGACTTAAAAATTACAAAAATATAAGAAAGAACAATCCAATTTTCACTCTTTGAGGGATCCAATAAGACTGAAGTTTCAAAGTAGGAACAGCATTTATAAAGTCTCCACGCTTCTCCTGTCCATCTCAGGCTAACTCACCATATAACAATTCTGGATGAAACATTTACTTTAAAAGAAGGATGTTTTGTCACATGTAGTGACACCAGATTGTGCAGTTGATGCTGAATTTCAGAGCATCAAATATGGTAATAATTCAATATAAAATACGTATTAAATATTTTTCTTACAGGTATTTCAGATTTTTTGCACCTCTGACTTTTATTAGCATTATTTACACTTGTAAAAGGTGTAGCTATGGAAATGTATTGGTTAAAGGTGACATTAAGTTTAAACAAAAAAACAACGCAAATATTTTATATGATGCAAAATCACAAATATATGATTTAATGCATACATTTTACTTTCCAGGCATATGTGAGCAAGTTGGTAAGCATGACATATTTCTCGGTTTCCGTATTTTAGATTTATTAAACGACCATCACTGTTATCATTTTCACTCTTACTCTGTGGATGATTTAGCTATATAAATGTAAAGCTAACAGTGACATTTGATAACAGAAAAACAAAACTTTGTATGCAATACAAAATCACACATACATGATTTAAATCATACATTTTACTTTCACTATCAAAGTGAGGATGGGGAATCTTTATTGATAGAATATATGTCAATGGCATTCTGTAAATCAATAATAGGCTTAAACATCCAAAGAAAGATTATTTACCTGTAGTGGAACTAGTTTGTGTAGTTGAAGCTGAAATTCAAAGAGACAAATATGTTAATGATTTAATTCAATATGCAACAGTAACAGGTAATTATAGATACTGCTAACCCTACAGACAGATTATAAAAATTAGAAGTCTATTAGCTCTATGATTCCATCAGGTGCAGGCTTGCATATTTTTGACAAAATGGGAAGTTTATTACAAAGCCTAAAGCTTTTACATACCTGTAAAAAATAGTCCATCTCTGGCTAACTCACAAAATAAAAATTCTGTATCAGATATATACATTAAAAGGGAGGAGAGGAGGAAGAGAGGGAGAAATAGAACATGGGGGGGGAAGGTGGGAGAGTGGGAGAGTATGAGACACAGGAAGGGGAGGGGGAGAGATGGAGGGTATGGGACTAAGGATGGGGAGGGTGGTGAGGGAGAAATGGGACACAGGGAGGGGAGGAGGAGAGACTTAGGGTATGGCACACAGGAAGGAAAGGGGGGAGAGAGGTAGGAATGGGAAATGGGGAAGGGGAGAGATGGAGGGTATGGGACACAGGGAGGGAAGAGAGAGAGAGATAAATGGAACTCCTGGAGGGAAGGGGGGAGAGAGGGAGAATGGGACAGAGGGAGGGGAGGAGGGAGAGAGGGAACAATGGGACACATGGATGTGAGGGAGAGAGAGGGATGGTATGGGACACAGGAAGGGCAGGGGGATAGACAGAGAAATGGGACACAGGGAGGGGAGAGAGAGGGTAAGGGTCACATGTAAGAGAGGGGAGGAGGGAGAGAGAGTATTGAACACATGTAAGGGGGAGGGAGGGAGAAATGGGACACAGTGAGGAGGGGGAAATAGGGTATAAGAGAGGGAGGGTAAGAGAGAGAAGAATGGGACACATGGAGTAGAGGGGAAGAGAGGAAGGAATGGGGCACAGGGAGGGGAGAGAGGGAGTGAATGGGTCACATGGAGGGGAGGGAATGAGGGAGGGTATGAGACACATGGAAGGGAGGAGGGAGAGAGGGTATGGGACACATGAGAGGTAGGGTATGAGACACATGGAAGGGAGGGGTAGAAAGGGAAGAATGGGATATGTGGAGGGGAGAGAGAGAGACACAGGGTGGAGAGGGAGATATGGGACACATGGAAGTGCTGGGAGGGAGGAGGGTATGTAAAACATGGAGGTGCTGCAGGGAGAGGGAATGGGATACATTGAGGGGCTGGAGGGGTTGAGGGTATGGGAAATTGGAGGGTGAGGGGGAGAGGGAATGGGACACATGGAGGGGCTGTGGTGTTGAGGGAATGAGTCAAGGAGGGGGCCTGGGTGCGGGAATGAGACCCAGTGGGCAGAATGAGGCACCAGGGAAATTGAATGAGACACTGGGGGGATGAGACACATGGTAGTGGGCAATTTTCAAATGACCACAAGGATGCAGTGTGTGTAGATTGGATACAGGCTCTGTGTGTGTTGTGGATGCAGTGTGTGTTTGTGTATTGGATGCAGTGTGTGTAAAGTGGACACAGTGTGTTTGTGCATGTGTAGTTGAGGCAGTGTATTTGTGTAGTTAATGCAATGTGTGTTTGAATGAAAGCATGTTTATGTATGGTGTATGTGTGTGAATGTTGTTGTTTGAATGCAGGCATGCATTTGTGTGTTGTGCATACACTTCCACACACACTGATACACATACATACAGATACACAGTCACACACACACTGACAATCATGCAAATACATAGATACACACACTGACACACTGACTCACACAGTTACACACACAATGACACACAGATACACACAGACATACATACTGACAGACACACAGACATACATACTGACACTCACACAGACACACACACTGACACACAGACATACATACTGACACATCGATACACATACTAATACACAAACATACATACTGACACAAAAACATACATACTGACAGACACACACACATGCAATTAATTTTTTAGCCACCTTCCTGTTACTTTATTTTGGGTGCAGGAGGGTGGCTGGGGCTGATGGGTGTTGGTCTAGCAGTTAGCTCTCCCATTCCTACTGCCTTTGCTCTGCCTTCCTCCCAAGTGGAGTAAGCCAGGAGGAAATGACCGTCTGTCACTTACTCCCAGCAAAAGTTGTTGCTACCGTGTTTCCCCGAAAATAAACCCTACCCCGAAAATAAGCCCTAGTCGGATTTTCGGCGTGGGCTGCAATATAAGCCCTACCCCGAAAATAAGACCTAGGCATTGTACCTTTGCGGCGAGACTTCCTTCTTCTACTGTAGGAGGAGCGTTGCGGGCCGCGGCATCGCAAAACGTGATGACGTCATTTCGCAGCGCCGTCAGTCTGCCTTCACGGATCTTCAGCGGAAGGATCCATTTCCGGGCGGTGAGGCTCCCAGTGGTCGGACTCGGCAAGGAAACTTTGAAATGTGAGTACCGGTAGATATTTTATGTCTGGGACTGAATTAATTAAAGGGGGTGGGGGGTGAATTAATTAAAGGGGGGTGAATTAAAGGGTGGGCTGGATTAATTAGAGGGGGGTGAATTAATTAAAGGGGGGTGAATTAATTAAGGGGGGTGAATTAATTAAAGGGTGGGCTGGATTAATTAGAGGGGGTGAATTAATTAAAGGGGGGTGAATTAATTAAAGGGTGGACTGGATTAATTAGAGGGTGTGTATTAATTAAAGGGGGGGTGAATTAATTAAAGGGTAGGTGAATTAATTAAAGGGTGGGTGAATTAATTAAAGGGTGGGCTGGATTAATTAGAGGGGGTGAATTAATTAAAGGGGGGTGAATTAATTAAAGGGTGGACTGGATTAATTAGAGGGGGTGAATTAATTAAAGGGGTGGTGAATTAATTAAAGGGGTGGTGAATTAATTAAAGGGTGGGCTGGATTAATTAGAGGGGGTGAATTAATTAAAGGGGTGGTGAATTAATTAAAGGGTAGACTGGATTAATTAGAGGGGGTGAATTAATTAAAGGGGTGGTGAATTAATTAAAGGGTGGGCTGGATTAATTAGAGGGGGTGAATTAATTAAAGGGGGGTGAATTAATTAAAGGGTTGGCTGGATTAATTAGAGGGGGTGAATTAATTAAAGGGGGGTGAATTAATTAAAGAGTGGACTGGATTAATTAGAGGGGGTGAATTAATTAAAGGGTGGGCTGGATTAATTAGAGGGGGTGGATTAATTAGAGGGGGTGGATTAATTAGAGGGGGGTGGATTAATTAAAGGGGGGGTTCAATGTACATACCGGTACCGTAAATAAATAAGCCCTACCCTGAAAATAAGCCCTAGTGTGTTTTTTGTGACTAAAATTAATATAAGACCCGGTCTTATTTTCGGAGAAACACGGTACCAATTTTAGAGCTATCCAGTTGCGCTATATAATCTGACCACGCCCCTGATGATATATGCCTTAAGAGCATGTACCACGGTGCAGTTGCACCAGCGGCAGTTCTGCCACTACAGATATACGGAATGTACAGTCAAATGGCCAGACACCCCAGTACTGCTGGTTTTGTGACAAGCATCTTGGTGAGCCCTGAATAAGACTTAAAGATAAAAAAGATACAAAAATCCTGTATTTAAATCCTGTATTTTAGGGCTCCAAGCAGATTAAAGTTTCAAAATAGGAACAGCCTTTATAAGGTTCCCACACTTCCCTGTCCATCTCTGACTAACTCACAATATAACAATTCTGTATTAAACATATACATTAAAAGAAGGATGTTTTGTTACCTGTAGTGGCACCAGATTGTGTAGTTGAAGCTGAAATTCAAAGTGACATGTTAGTGATTCAATTTAATATGCAAAAGTAGTAGACAGATTATAAAATGCAGAAGGCTATCAGTTAACGTATTACATTATGGTTAGGTTGACAAATCTTAACTAAAGGGGAGGTCCATTACAAGGCTAATATACCTTACATTGCTGTAAAAAATAGGCTATGCTTTTTTTTATATTTTCATTTTACAGGCTCCAAAAAAGGTCAAAGAAAAATCCAATGCATCCAAAGAGTTTAAAACAAAAAACGCACGGTTTGTAAAAATTCAATCCACTCTTAAACAGAATGTTCAACTCAATTAGGGGAAATGCTGGTTTCCCCCGAGCAAGTATGGAGTCCAGTATTTCTCCCATTCTAAAACCAGGGAAAGATACAAAACTGGTCATTAATTATAGGCCCATCTCCACTATTAATATATATATTAAGTTTTTTTTAAGATTTCTGTTGTCTAATTACAAATTAAATCTTTCTAAAACCCAAATTTTGACATTTTATATGACTGAAGAACAGAGAAAAGAATATAGGTGACTTTGGTCAATTCGATTAACATAAAAAATGTATATATTATTTAGGAATATACCGCAAACTCTTGAAATGAATTAGGAAACCTTGTGGGAGGAACTTAACATATTATTGACTCAATTGAAGAGATTGGAAATCTCATGGTTGGGATGTCTTGGTGTATTAAAATCATATGTACTCCCAAAACTTCTCTACTTGTTTAGAGCAATACCATACCAAGTCTCAAACTCTATTCTGAAAAAAAATTGACTTGCCATTTTCTAACTTTGTTTGGGCATCTAAAAAACCTAAGATCCCAAGCACAATTCTTAAGAGAAGCACTTTACAACATGGTTTAGTATATCCAGATATATATCGTTATAATGATTCATTCCAACTTTTCCATATGATGGCGTAGAAGAGAAGGAAGAAGGTTAATATTGGTTAATATAACATTAAAAAATATATAACAGGAACCTGTGAGCCTTATTTATTGTGTTCGTCCTCTACTAAACTATAAAAAAAAATACAACTAATACAGCTACAATCTTTACTTGAACACTAATACAGCTGTCTAATAAAGCAAATCTACAAGATGACAACAAAAGAAGTAGAGCTCAATAGCTCAATCTGAAAGAAAAGACAGCTGATCCCCAAAGGCCTAAAAATAAAAAATCCACTTGTTACTATGCACAAATAGCAGTATGCTGAAAACCTGTGTAAACGCACTAGTGAGAAACTTAGAAACCATCTCATCTACCAGCTCTACAGCAAGAAATATAGCATCCAACATAAAAAACAATACTCCAAAATCTATGTGAGGAAAATATATAAATTGATGAACAACTAGAACATGATCTATACTATTTTTACAAAAAGCAACAACAGGACCTTTTTAAGAAGAAAAATAATAAACTCATCAGACTTCAGCACTTCTGCCACTACAGATATAGGAAATGTCGGGCATAGATGACCGGACACCCCAGGACCACTAGGCCAGTGACATCATGGTTGTCACCCCGGGATGAAGTTCAGACTAAAGTTTAAAGATAAAAAAGATACAAAATCCCTCATCCAAAAATTGTCCCATATTCATTCTTTGAGGGCACTAAGCAGATTTAAGTTTCAAAGTAGGAACAGCCTTTATAACGTTCCTATGCTTCTCCTGTCCATCTATGGCTAGCTCACAATATAGAAATTCTGTATCAAACATATACTTTAAAAGAAGAATGTGTTATTACCTGTAGTGGCACCAGATTGTGTAGTTGAAGCTGAAATTCAAAGCAACAGATATGTTAAAAATTCTATTTAATATGCAACAGTAATAGGTAATGTTAGATAATGCTGACATTCTCACACACTGACACACAGACATACATACTAGGCACACAGACTTACATGCTGAAATGCAGATATACATACAGACACAAATAATGACTCACAGACATACACACTGATACACACACTCATAGTGACACACAGAAGAACATATTTATACACAGACACACAGTCATAAATACTGACAGACACACACATGGAAGTCACCCATGGGCCTCATCAGCATACAGGCCCAGGTACAGCTGTACCAGTGGCACTTCCGCCTCTACAGAGTCATGTCTACAAATGCTCACAGTTTAGGGAATACAATTTATAAACTTGTGGCTATAATGGCAACTGATAATGTAGATTTAGTCGCTGTTACTGAGACATTGTATAATGAGAAAGATGACTGGGAGAAAGCAATACCAGGGTACTCTTTATATAGAAAAGACAGGGAAGGGAAGAAAGGGGGAGGGGTGGCCCTGTATGTGAAGGATAGCATAAAATATAGCCTAATAAGTTAGTGAGGCAAACATAGAGTCCGTTTGGATTACGTAAGAATTTGATAATCACACAGTAACTTGTGTAGGTGTGATTTATAGGTCCCCAGGACAAATAAAAGAGTTAGATAATCTACTAGTTGAGGAAATAGCTAAAATGACAATGAAGGGGGAAGTTATCATCATGGGTGACTTTAGTCGTCCTGATGTGAATTGGAAACCAAAATAGCTGCTTGTGCCAGGAGAACACATATTCTAAACTCCCTACTGGGATTGTCTCTAAAACAAGTTGTTGAGGAGCCAACTCGTAAAGAGGTCATAATAGATTTAGTGTTAACAAATGGAGATTTGGTATCAGATATTACTGTAGGTGAAAGTTTAGGATCCAGTGATCATCAGTCAGTGTGGTTTAATATAAGAACAGTGACTGAGTCACACCACACCATTGCTTGCTGGACATTTCTATAATTGTTACTAATTTGGTCAAATTTATGATGTAGGAAAATTATAGTTGAGGAATCCTGTAATATTTTCTTATATTTAGTTATACTAGTTACGGTGAACCTGTGAATTGTGTAGCTTGATAAATATAACATCAATGGAACACTATAGTATACAAACATTTATTCAATACACAATAATGTCCTGCTACTAAAGTGCCCACCTTACACCCAACATGTGAGGGTTTAAAAGCAGGCAAAATTCCTCACTGTGTCAATTAAATGCCACCCTATGAGCAGCATTTGATCTTTAGCTGAGTTTGCTCAGTTATAGCAGAGGAAGTGCTTATTCTGGCTGTCAGGAAGACAGCCACTAAAGACATATTAAACCTGCAATGTAAACATGACAATATTTTACATTGCGAGATTGGACAGATAGCGCAATCCCCCCAGACCACTTCAATGAGATTAAGTGGTCTGGATTTCTCGAATGTCCCTTTTACAGTGAAATTTTACTTTCAATACATAAGTGAGCATGTTGGATCTTACACAACACAATGAGTGTTTTGAAAATGAATAAATAAAAGTAAATAATTGTATCAACCATAAACACTATATAAAAAACAATATTTGCATCATTACCAGTGGTGGTATTGGCTTGTGTACTTGAAACTGAAATTGAAAAAGACACATATTGAAATGATTCAATATATATATATGCAACAGTAATAAGTAATTGTAGAGAGGTCTAATACTACAAACACATTTTCAAACTCATTAGTACAATGATTACACTAGAGGCATGTTTTCAATTTAAGGACAATTAGGCAAGTCTACTACAAGACTAGCAAATCTTAAATACATGTAAAAAACATAATTGAAACTTTCCATCAGAATTCTTCATTCAAATCTTCATTTGTTAGGCTCCAAATAAGGCCAAATAAAAATCCATAGAACCAAGACTTAAAATATGAAAAAAGCATAACAAGCAAAAAAACTTTGCCTCTAATCAGAGTTGCCTTGCAATGCAATACCAGGCAGGACTTGTGATAGGTGAGAGTTACCACTCACAGTGCCCTGATTTTCTGTTATTAAGTTATCAGTTATTAATGATTTTTATTTGCCTTTTTTAAGCTAAAATAACAGCCTCTATTGTTCCCCTTCACTGTTATTACTGTTGCTTTTTATACAATACGAGATCACAAATATACAATACGAGATCACCCCATGGCAACGCTCCGGGTCCCGTGAGAGTGAACTCTAGCCCCACAGGCTAGAGTTCACTCACCACTAGGACCACCATGGATGGCAACTGCACGACCTCCCCCCCTCCCAGGCTAAAGGTAAGAAGGGAGGGGGGACATAATCACACACTGCATGTTGACACTCACAGTACTCTCACTCACACATACACACACTGCACCCCTGACAATCACAGCACCCTCATTCACACACAGTATACACACTGCACCCCACACACAGCACCCTTACACATATCACCCACGCACACACAGAGCACAATACTCTTTCCTGTCATTTTTGTCTCCTGGTATCCCATCTATGGAGACACCAGAGACAAATTTCAAGCAAACACAGTTCAAGCATGTTATTAAATTTGCTTGCACTGTGCAGAACAAATACAGGGTCTTTTTCTCATGCTAGAGCTCCTCAGCAGAGCTCTGCACATGGTCTAACCTGGAAGAGCATTGAACCAACATGCTCACTTTGTGATGGGGCATACTTGTCATTGGTGATGACCAAACACACCCTATCTGGCCCCGCCCCCTTTTTAGTTTAGTTAAAAAATGCCCAGGCCCAAATTTTTTCCCAGTCCGGCCCTGTTAGCTATTTAAAAGTAAAGTCAACAGTGACTTTTGATAAAAGGATAACAATTATTTTTATGCAATACAAAATCACAAATATATGATTTGACGCATACATTTTATATGGAATACCAAAGGAAGCATAATGGATTTCCATTCATACACTATGTAACAGTAACAGGCAATTGTAGATAGTTCTAATATTACAGACATAAAAGATTATAAAAATCAGAAGGCTGTCAGCTAAATGATTCCATGGCTTACGCATTTTCTCCTGACAGTAGACCAGTAATGCATTACAAAGCAGTTCTCATGACAGGTTACACTTGAGATTGCCTCTCAAAAAAAAGTTTTGCTCCATACCCAACTAATCCGATAACTGACTGCTAATTTAAACATAAGGATGCCATATTAAAGGTAAAAAAAATTACTACGCACAGAGACCTCCACAGAATTATTATTATAATTCTTTTTTTTGCAGTATTTTATTTATATGTTTTTAGTTTTTAAGTCTAGTCAGTTATTATTGATTTTTAATTTTCCCTTTTTAAGGCAAAAAAAAAAGATTTGAAAAAGGAAGACTTTAGATGACAAGTTTTGATGGCTATTCTAGATCCATTGTACCCCTTCACTATTATTATTGTTAGTTTTTTTACAATACAAAATCACAAATATATGATTTAATAGATAAAGTTTATTTTTAATATATATATGTGTTTGATGGATTTTAATTTGTACAATAGGTATCAAAGATGTATTGCAAATCTTTATCAAACATTTACATCAAAAAAACAGTTGTACTGTTACCTGTGGTGGCATTAGCATTTGTAGTTGAAGCTGAAATTCAAAGAGACAAATTGTTTAATTATTCAATTTAATATGCAATAATAACAGGAAATTTTACATGAAATTAGGTTTTATATTTTGCATTAAACAATCTTTACTGAAGTCCAGCAGCACAGATCATTAACAGGAAAAACATCCAAAAAACAGTTGATATTTAAGGCCCTCACCTCTCAAGCACTTTCCCCTTCTTTGCTGCTCCTGCTGTGCACAGGCCATTGTATTTTGATCCTTTATGACTTTATCATACTATTTACTTTCTCATTTATTTTGTGCTTCCTTGTTTTTGGCACACATATTTAATTGATTTTAAAAGGTATTTTTATGGACGTTCTAGTCTCAAAATGTAATGAATATGGGAAATGGTTTATGTGGATTGCATTGAGATTTATGGATGTCATTTAATTGATATGTCTTACAATGCACACAAGTGTATATATGTACCACAGTGTTCCTGGGAGTAATTTATGCCAGATTATGCTGTGTCCCCATGACACGTCAACTGGGGTCACTACCCCATATGATATTGGTTGCCCCAGTGAGGCAGTTTATTGACAGGGGTGACCCCCTTCCAGGTACCATTCCTATTACTGTGTTTTCCAATCTATATACTGGATAATACAATGGAGCTTCACTGTGCAACTGGGGTGAACTCAAATATCGATTTCATTACCTAGCTGCACTGTTGGCAACAAGTGTGAGGGTGACCCCCTCAGTGGTACTTTTTCAGCCTGGCAGGGAACTTATAGGGTTGACCCACTTTTATATGAGACTGATATTGTCTCCTATTAATTAAAGGGAAGCCCACTTTGGTACGTGTCTATCGCTTATGTTGGTTGTTTTAGAGGATGACTTCCTCTCTTCACTGGCACTACTACTAAATTTCTCCACCAGAGAATGGATGCCTGCCTTCTCCAGGTGAGCACCAGCTGTATTGGGAACCTGACACCCTGTGCTTTTACGCATTTCCCACTGACTACTTTGCTTGCGCTCTAATCATGGGTGACTTGTCACAATTTACTCAGTATTTTCAGGTGATAATCAATGTTGCTGTCGGAGGAGATGGTCTTGAAGGTGCTGACCCACATGCCAGTGGAGTCTGTTGGTTAAGGGAAAACTATACCACACAACCTAGAGCAACTATACCACACAACCTCTTCGGCACTCCAGATGTTGTGGACTACATCCCCCATAATGCTTTTACACCCATAAGGCTGGCAGAGCACCATGGAAGGTGTAATCCAAAACATCTGGAGTGTCAAAGGTTGCCTATGCCTTATCTAGAGGATGATTGGGCTCCGAGACTTCTAGGGATAATATACCTTTGGCTAACTCCACTGGAACGGAGCTGAATTGAATTTCCAGAAATCTAAGGCAAAGGCCACAATTAAATAGCCTAAATAGATGGAGATGCAAGCCCTGCCTCCTTATCCATTGGCATCCTTGGTTGTGGTAGACAAATGTCGAGCAGACGGATCGGCTTCAGAGGAGAAAGAATGGCAAGACATACCACAGACAGAGTCTTGATCTGTCAGGTAATCTATAGAGGATGATTCTTCCCACAGAAAGGATACCCAAAAGCCACTGGCTTCCAGGGACTCTCAATGGATGCTGTTTTTTCAACCCCACTCAAGCATCTGAGATTGGAATCGTGCCTCCCAGGCCATCTCACTTTATTCCCTTCTGGCTGAGAAAGCAATTGGAGAAGAAGGTGTGCATGCACCTGTGGGCCAAATGCCCTCGCCCGCTGCTCCGAAAGTAGCGTACACTCCCGAATTTTACACTACGGTAGTGGGCCTTATATCCTGGATGGGTCATGGCTTCCGCAAGAGGATTGAAAAGGACTTTTTGGATGGATGCCTGCCTTCTCCAGGTGAGCACCAGCTGTATTGGGAACCTGACACCCTGTGCTTTTACGCATTTCCCACTGACTACTTTGTTTCCCAGTCGGGAACACGCTTACGCTCTAATCATGGGTGACTCGTCACAATTTACTCAGTATTTTCAGGTGATAATCAATGTTGCTGTCGGAGATGATGGTCTTGAAGGTGCTGACCCACATGCCAGTGGAGTCTGTTGGTTAAGGGGAAACTATACCACACAACCTAGAGCAACTATACCACACAACCTCTTCGGCACTCCAGATGTTGTGGACTACATCCCCCATAATGCTTTTACACCCATAAGGCTGGCAGAGCACCATGGAAGGTGTAATACAAAACATCTGGAGTGTCGAAGGTTGCCTATGCCTTATCTAGAGGATGATTGGGCTCCGAGACTTCTAGGTATTATATATCTTTGGCTAAACTCCACTGGAACTGAGCTGAATTGAATATCCAGAAATCTAAGGCAAAGGCCACAATTAAATAGCCTAAATAGATGGAAATGCAAGCCCTGCCTCCTAATCCATTGGCATCCTTGGTTGTGGTAGACAAATGTCGAGAAGACAGATCGGCTTCAGAGGAGAAAGAATGGCAAGACATACCACAGACAGAGTCTCGATCTGTCAGGTAATCTATAGAGGACGATTCTTCCCACAGAAAGGATACCCAAAAGCCACTGGCTTCCAGGGACTCTCAATGGATGCTGTTTTTTCAACCCCACTCAAGCATCTGAGATTGGAATCGTGCCTCCCAGGCCATCTGTCTTTATTCCCTTCTGGCTGAGAAAGCAATTAGAGAAGAAGGTGTGCATGCACCTTTGGGCCAAATGCCCTCGCCCGCTGCTCCCAAAGTAGCGTACACTATTTTACACTACGGTAGTGGGCCTTATATCCTGGATGGGTCATGGCGTCCGCAAGAGTATTGAAAAGGACTTAAAAGCTGCCCAAGACAAACTTCTGGATATCCTCGGTCCTCTGGATAAAATTGCTATACTTTGCTGATCTGGATCTCTCACCAGACACGCAATTCAACCCAAATGACATCCGAGAGTGGGCTCAGCATTCAATCTGCATGCTTGGCAATACAAACACTGCTCTTTTTACAGAACATCGCAAGTCCGCTCTTCTGAAGATAGACACAAAGCTACTTGGGTAAGAAGGAGCTAAGACCCTTTGCTAATGGGCTCCTATCTGGAGAATCCTTTATCACCGAATTAAAGAGGCATGTGAACCTTTTCACCACTCTGAATAAAGTGCAAACCTCTATGAAAGTAGTTTTTTGACCATCTCCTGACAGTAGTGTTTTTTGCAGAGCTGTTTGGCAGAGGGGCCAAGCCATCAGCTATTTCTAGTATACCGGAACAAACACTCCATCCTCATCCTTCTTTCCATTCAACATTGCCACTTTCCATAAAGGAACAGAGAGGACAAGACGCAATAGAGGCAGAAGCTATGCATTCTTCTTTGATTCTATCTTCTACTGATTTAACTGCAGGCATATTACAGAATTGAAGAGCAATCTTTGTGACACCTGGGTCATTCAGACATCATTGAGTTCCACTCTGTTTCCACATAAACTTGTCCTCCGCATCCCTTATGCATGTCTGAGGTACACAGGTCCCTCATCAATGAAAACATTTGTGCTCTGTTCTCTAGAGGTGCAGTGTGCAATTCACACCAGATGGGACAGGTTTACAGGCAACATTTTTCAATGACTTCAGACTTACGACCTTTCCTCAATTTATGTCAACTTAACAACTTTGTGATGTAATGACACTTCAAGATGGAAGGAATCCATTTTCTGTGGAAGCATCTCTGAAGAACAACTTGTTCACTTGTCTCGATCTAAAGGATGAGCACCTCTTGATTCTTAGCCATAGCTTTCTCCATTTCATTTGGTGGGACTGACATTGCCAGTTCATGTGTCTGACTTTCGGACTCAGCTCTAAAGAACATAAACAACGCAATGCTTAAAATCTCAGTGTTTATGTTCAAGTCAGTCATGCGATTACTTGGTGCCTTTTTTGCTGGAGTTTCAAATGTAGCTCCATTGGTGACTGCTCCACATTCAGACTGGATTTCATCGTAGAGTTGGACGCCAGCCTTCAGGGTTTCCAGATCTGCTGGAACTGTCTCATGACCACCCTCTTATCCTGCCATTGTTTTCTCTTCTTTCTCTTTCTTGCCAGAAGGCGTGTCCTTTTTAGTCTTGTGTCATACAAAGACAAAGTCTACCTTAGTTTGGTTTTTTTTCTGAGAATTGCCTCAACTGTGCGTGGTCAACATGTTATTCTGTTACACGGAGGTCACCGTGTCCTTTTAATGCATAAGATGGTAAGCATGAAACATTTTTCTTTGTGGTAATTCAGATTTTTTTTAGTATGTGTTTTACAAATACTTAATTTAACACATTAAGTTCACTTTCAATTTATATATGTGAGTTTGATGGATCTCAATTCATACAATATGTGTCAATGATATTCTGCAAATTTTTAGCAAACATGTACTTTAAAAGAACGGTTGTACTGTTACCTGTGGTGACATTAGCATTTATAGTTGAAGCTGAAATTCAAAGAGACAAATATATTAATGATTCAATTTAATACACAACAGTAACCAGTAATTGTAGGTAATTCTAATACTACAGGCAGATTTAAAAAATTAGAAGATTATAAATTAAATGATTTCATTAGGGATAGACTTTTTTTTATTTTTAAAAAGGGGGAAGTCCATTACAAAGGCTAAATAATTTACATATCTGTAAAAGCTAGTTCATGCCTTTCTTCAAAATGTTTTTTTTTAAATATTGATTTTTTTTAGGGCTTGAAATGTCAAAAAATAATCCCTACTGCATAATATGACTTAAAAATTACAAAAATATAAGAAAGAACAATCCAATTTTCACTCTTTGAGGGATCCAATAAGACTGAAGTTTCAAAGTAGGAACAGCATTTATAAAGTCTCCACGCTTCTCCTGTCCATCTCAGGCTAACTCACCATATAACAATTCGGGATGAAACATTTACTTTAAAAGAAGGATGTTTTGTCACATGTAGTGACACCAGATTGTGCAGTTGATGCTGAATTTCAGAGCATCAAATATGGTAATAATTCAATATAAAATACGTATTAAATATTTTTCTTACAGGTATTTCAGATTTTTTGCACCTCTGACTTTTATTAGCATTATTTACACTTGTAAAAGGTGTAGCTATGGAAATGTATTGGTTAAAGGTGACATTAAGTTTAAACAAAAAAACAACGCAAATATTTTATATGATGCAAAATCACAAATATATGATTTAATGCATACATTTTACTTTCCAGGCATATGTGAGCAAGTTGGTAAGCATGACATATTTCTCGGTTTCCGTATTTTAGATTTATTAAACGACCATCACTGTTATCATTTTCACTCTTACTCTGTGGATGATTTAGCTATATAAATGTAAAGCTAACAGTGACATTTGATAACAGAAAAACAAAACTTTGTATGCAATACAAAATCACACATACATGATTTAAATCATACATTTTACTTTCACTATCAAAGTGAGGATGGGGAATCTTTATTGATAGAATATATGTCAATGGCATTCTGTAAATCAATAATAGGCTTAAACATCCAAAGAAAGATTATTTACCTGTAGTGGAACTAGTTTGTGTAGTTGAAGCTGAAATTCAAAGAGACAAATATGTTAATGATTTAATTCAATATGCAACAGTAACAGGTAATTATAGATACTGCTAACCCTACAGACAGATTATAAAAATTAGAAGTGTATTAGCTCTATGATTCCATTAGGTGCAGGCTTGCATATTTTTGACAAAATGGGAAGTTTATTACAAAGCCTAAAGCTTTTACATACCTGTAAAAAATAGTCCATCTCTGGCTAACTCACAAAATAAAAATTCTGTATCAGATATATACATTAAAAGGGAGGAGAGGAGGAAGAGAGGGAGAAATAGAACATGGGGGGGGAAGGTGGGAGAGTGGGAGAGTATGAGACACAGGAAGGGGAGGGGGAGAGATGGAGGGTATGGGACTAAGGATGGGGAGGGTGGTGAGGGAGAAATGGGACACAGGGAGGGGAGGGGGAGAGACTTAGGGTATGGCACACAGGAAGGGAAGGGGGAGAGAGGAAGGAATGGGAAATGGGGAAGGGGAGAGATGGAGGGTATGGGACACAGGGAGGGAAGAGAGAGAGAGATAAATAGAACACCTGGAGGGAAAGGGGGAGAGAGGGAGAATGGGACACAGGGAGAGGAGGAGGGAGAGAGGGAACAATGGGACACATGGATGTGAGGGAGAGAGAGGGATGTATGGGACACAGGAAGGGGAGGGGGATAGACAGAGAAATGGGACACAGGGAGGGTAGAGAGAGGGTAAGGGTCACATGTAAGAGAGGGGAGGAGGGAGAGAGAGTATTGAATATATGTAAGGGGGAGGGAGGGAGAAATGGGACACAGTGAGGAGGGGAAATAGGGTATAAGAGAGGGAGGGTAAGAGAGAGAAGAATGGGACACATGGAGTAGAGGGGGAGAGAGGAAGGAATGAATGGGACACAGGGAGGGGAGAGAGGGAGTGAATGGGTCACATGGAGGGGAGGGAATGAGCGAGGGTATGAGACACATGGAAGGGAGGGGAGGAGGGAGAGAGGGTATGGGACACATGAGAGGTAGGGTATGGGACACATGGAAGGGAGGGGTAGAGAGGGAAGAATGAGATATGTGGAGGGGAGAGAGAGACACAGGGTGGAGAGGGAGATATGGTTCACATGGAAGGGCTGGGAGGGAGGAGGGTATTTAAAACATGGAGGTTCTGCAGGGAGAGGGAATGGGATACATGGAGGGGCTGGAGGGGTTGAGGGTATGGGAAATTGGAGGGTGAGGGGGAGAGGGAATGGGACACATGGAGGGGCTGTGGTGTCGAGGGAATGAGTCAAGGAGGGGGCCTGGGTGCGGGAATGAGACCCAGTGGGCAGAATGAGGCACCAGGGAAATTGAATGAGACACTGGGGGGATGAGACACATGGTAGGGGGCAATTTTCAAATGACCACAAGGATGCAGTGTGTGTAGATTGGATACAGGCTCTGTGTGTGTTGTGGATGCAGTGTGTGTTTGTGTATTGGATGCAGTGTGTGTAAAGTGGACACAGTGTGTTTGTGCATGTGTAGTTGAGGCAGTGTATTTGTGTAGTTAATGCAATGTGTGTTTGAATGAAAGCATGTTTATGTATGGTGTATGTGTGTGAATGTTGTTGTTTGAATGCAGGCATGCATTTGTGTGTTGTGCATACACTTCCACACACACTGATACACATACATACAGATACACAGTCACACACACACTGACAATCATGCAAATACATAGATACACACACTGACACACTGACTCACACAGTTACACACACACTGACACACAGATACACACAGACATACATACTGACAGACACACAGACATACATACTGACAATCACACAGACAAACACACTGACACACAGACATACATACTGACACACAGACACACATACTAATACACAAACATACATACTGACACAAAAACATACATACTGACAGACACACACACATGCAATTAATTTTTTAGCCACCTTCCTGTTACTTTATTTTGGGTGCAGGAGGGTGGCTGGGGCTGATGGGTGTTGGTCTAGCAGTTAGCTCTCCCATTCCCACTGCCTTTGCTCTGCCTTCCTCCCAAGTGGAGTAAGCCAGGAGGAAATGACCGTCTGTCACTTACTCCCAGCAAAAGTTGTTGCTACCAATTTTAGAGCTATCCAGTTGCGCTATATAATCTGACCACGCCCCTGATGATATATGCCTTAAGAGCATGTACCACGGTGCAGTTGCACCAGCGGCAGTTCTGCCACTACAGATATACGGAATGTACAGTCAAATGGCCAGACACCCCAGTACTGCCGGTTTTGTGACAAGCATCTTGGTGAGCCCTGAATAAGACTTAAAGATAAAAAAGATACAAAAATCCTGTATTTAAATCCTGTATTTGAGGGCTCCAAGCAGATTAAAGTTTCAAAATAGGAACAGCCTTTATAAGGTTCCCACACTTCCCTGTCCATCTCTGACTAACTCACAATATAACAATTCTGTATTAAACATATACATTAAAAGAAGGATGTTTTGTTACCTGTAGTGGCACCAGATTGTGTAGTTGAAGCTGAAATTCAAAGTGACATGTTAGTGATTCAATTTAATATGCAAAAGTAGTAGACAGATTATAAAATGCGAAGGCTATCAGTTAACGTATTACATTATGGTCAGGTTGACAAATATTAACTAAAGGGGAGGTCCATTACAAGGCTAATATACCTTACATTGCTGTAAAAAATAGGCTATGCTTTTTTTTACATTTTCATTTTACAGGCTTCAAAAAAGGTCAAAGAAAAATCCAATGCATCCAAAGAGTTAAAAACAAAAAATGCACGGTTTGCAAAAATTCAATCCACTCTTAAACAGAATGTTCAACTCAATTAGGGGAAATGCTGGTTTCCCCCGAGCAAGTATGGAGTCCAGTATTTCTACCATTCTAAAACCAGGGAAAGATCCAAAACTGGTCATTAATTATAGGCCCATCTCCACTATTAATATAGATATTAAGTTTTTTTAAGATTTCTGTTGTCTAATTACAAATTAAATCTTTCTAAAACCCAAATTTTGACATTTTATATGACTGAAAAACAGAGAAAAGAATATAGGTGACTTTGGTCAATCCGATTAACATAAAAAATGTATATATTATTTAGGAATATACCGCAAACTCTTGAAATGAATTAGGAAACCTTGTGGGAGGAACTTAACATATTATTGACTCAATGGAAGAGATTGGAAATCTCATGGTTGGGATGTCTTGGTGTATTAAAATCATATGTACTCCCAAAACTTCTCTACTTGTTTAGAGCAATACCATACCAAGTCTCAAACTCTATTCTGAAAAAAATTGACTTGCCATTTTCTAACTTTGTTTGGGCATCTAAAAAACCTAAGATCCCAAGCACAGTTCTTAAGAGAAGAACTTTACAACATGGTTTAGTATATCCAGATATATATCGTTATCATGATTCATTCCAACTTTTCCATATGATGGCGTGGAAGAGAAGGAAGAAGGTTAATATTGGTTAATATAACATTGAAAAATATATTATAGGAACCTGTGAGCCTTATTTATTGTGTTCGTCCTCTCCTAAACTATAAAAAAAAAAAATACAACTAATACAGCTACAATCTTTACTTGAACACTATGGAAGATACCGCATACAGCTGTCTAATGAAGCAAATCTACAAGATGACCACAAAAGAAGTAGAGCTCAATAGCTCAATCTGCAAGAAAAGACAGCTGATCCCCAAAAGCCTAAAAATCAAAAATCCACTTGTTACTGTGCACAAATCGCAGTATGCTGAAAACCTGTGTAAACGCACTAGTGAGAAACTAAGAAACCATCTCATCTACCAGCTCTACAGCAAGAAATATTGCAGCCAACATAAAAAACAATACTCCAAAATCTATGTGAGGAAAATATATAAATTGCTGAACAACTAGAACATGATCTATACTATTTTTACAAAAAGCAACAACAGGACCTTTTTAAGAAGAAAAATAATAAACTCATCAGACTTCAGCACTTCTGCCACTACAGATATAGGAAATGTTGGGCATAGATGACCAGACACACCAGGACCACTAGGCCAGTGACATCATGGTTGTCAACCCGTGATGAAGCTCAGACTAAACTTTACACATAAAAAAGATACAAAATCCCTCATCCAAAAATTGTCCCATATTCATTCTTTGAGGGCACTAAGCAGATTTAAGTTTCAAAGTAGGAACAGCCTTTATAACGTTCCTATGCTTCTCCTGTCCATCTGTGGCTAGCTCACAATATAGAAATTCTGTATCAAACATATACTTTAAAAGAAGAATGTGTTATTACCTGTAGTGGCACCAGATTGTGTAGTTGAAGCTGAAATTCAAAGCAACAGATATGTTAAAAATTCTATTTAATATGCAACAGTAATAGGTAATGTTAGATAATGCTGACATTCTCACACACTGACACACAGACATACATAATAGGCACACAGACTTACATGCTGAAATGCAGATATACATACAGACACAAATAATGACTCACAGACATACACACTGATACACACACTCATACTGACACACAGAAGAACATATTTATACACAGACACACAGACATACATACTGACAGACACACACATGGAAGTCACCAATGGGCCTCATCAGCATGCAGGCCCAGGTACAGCTGTACCAGTGGCACTTGCGCCTCTACAGAGTCATGTCTACAAATGCTCACAGTTTAGGGAATACAATTTATAAACTTGTGGCTATAATGGCAACTGATAATGTAGATTTAGACGCTGTTACTGAGACATAGTATAATGAGAAAGATGACAGGGAGAAAGCAATACCAGGGTACTCTTTATATAGAAAAGACAGGGAAGGGAAGAAAGGGGGAAGGATGGCCCTGTATGTGAAGGATAGCATAAAATATAGCCTAATAATTTAGTGAGGCAAACATAGAGTCTGTTTGGATTACGTAAGAATTTGATAATCACACAGTAACTTGTGTAGGTGTGATTTATAGGTCCCCAGGACAAATAAAAGAGTAAGATAATCTACTAGTTGAGGAAATAGCTAAAATGACAATGAAGGGGGAAGTTATCATCATGGGTGACTTTAGTCGTCCTGATGTGAATTGGAAACCAAAATAGCTGCTTGTGCCAGGAGAACACATATTCTAAACTCCCTACTGGGATTATCTCTAAAACAAGTTGTTGAGGAGCCAACTCGTAAAGAGGTCATAATAGATTTAGTGTTAACAAATGTTGATTTGGTATCAGATATTACTGTAGGTGAAAGTTTAGGATCCAGTGATCATCAGTCAGTGTGGTTTAATATAAGAACAGTGACTGAGTCACACCACACAAAAACAAAGGTTTTAGACTTTAGAAAAACAGACTTTTTTAAATTTAGAATATGTGTAAAGGAGTCATTATCAGACTGGAGCAATTTAAATGGAGTCCAAGAAAAATTTGATTATTTAAAAGTTGCACTGCTGAATGCAACATAACATTTCATTAGGCTTGTCAGTAAAAGCAAAAAATTTAAGAAACCACTGTGGTACTCCGCAGATGTGGCCAAAATAGTAAAAAACAAAAAGTTAGTATTTACCTGTAGTGGAACTAGTTTGTGTAGTTGAAGCTGAAATTCAAAGAGACAAATATGTTAATGATTTAATTCAATATGCAACAGTAACAGGTAATTATAGATACTGCTAACCCTACAGACAGATTATAAAAATTAGAAGTCTATTAGCTCTATGATTCCATCAGGTGCAGGCTTGCATATTTTTGACAAAATGGGAAGTTTATTACAAAGCCTAAAGCTTTTACATACCTGTAAAAAATAGTCCATCTCTGGCTAACTCACAAAATAAAAATTCTGTATCAGATATATACATTAAAAGGGAGGAGAGGAGGAAGAGAGGGAGAAATAGAACATGGGGGGGGGGAAGGTGGAAGAGTTTGAGAGTATGAGACACAGGAAGGGGAGGGGGAGAGATGGAGGGTATGGGACTAAGGATGGGGAGGGTGGTGAGGGAGAAATGGGACACAGGGAGGGGAGGGGGAGAGACTTAGGGTATGGCACACAGGAAGGGAAGGGGGAGAGAGGAAGGAATGGGAAATGGGGAAGGGGAGAGATGGAGGGTATGGGACACAGGGAGGGAAGAGAGAGAGAGATAAATAGAACACCTGGAGGGAAAGGGGGAGAGAGGGAGAATGGGACACAGGGAGAGGAGGAGGGAGAGAGGGAACAATGGGACACATGGATGTGAGGGAGAGAGAGGGATGTATGGGACACAGGAAGGGGAGGGGGATAGACAGAGAAATGGGACACAGGGAGGGTAGAGAGAGGGTAAGGGTCACATGTAAGAGAGGGGAGGAGGGAGAGAGAGTATTGAATATATGTAAGGGGGAGGGAGGGAGAAATGGGACACAGTGAGGAGGGGAAATAGGGTATAAGAGAGGGAGGGTAAGAGAGAGAAGAATGGGACACATGGAGTAGAGGGGGAGAGAGGAAGGAATAGGACACAGGGAGGGGGGAGAGGGAGGGAATGGGACACAGGGAGGGGAGAGAGGGAGTGAATGGGTCACATGGAGGGGAGGGAATGAGCGAGGGTATGAGACACATGGAAGGGAGGGGAGGAGGGAGAGAGGGTATGGGACACATGAGAGGTAAGGTATGGGACACATGGAAGGGAGGGGTAGAGAGGGAAGAATGAGATATGTGGAGGGGAGAGAGAGACACAGGGTGGAGAGGGAGATATGGTTCACATGGAAGGGCTAGGAGGGAGGAGGGTATTTAAAACATGGAGGTTCTGCAGGGAGAGGGAATGGGATACATGGAGGGGCTGGAGGGGTTGAGGGTATGGGAAATTGGAGGGTGACGGGGAGAGGGAATGGGACACATGGAGGGGCTGTGGTGTCGAGGGAATGAGTCAAGGAGGGGGCCTGGGTGTGGGAATGAGACCCAGTGGGCAGAATGAGGCACCAGGGAAATTGAATGAGACACTGGGGGGATGAGACACATGGTAGGGGGCAATTTTCAAATGACCACAAGGATGCAGTGTGTGTAGATTGGATACAGGCTGACACACAGAAACACAGAGACATACATACTGACACACACACAGACATACATACTGACACACACACAGACACACACACTGACACACAGACATACATACTGACACACAGACACACATACTAATACACAAGCATACATACTGACACAAAAACATAAATATTGACAGACACACACACATGCAATTAATTTTTTAGCCACCTTCCTGTTACTTTATTTTGGGTGCAGGAGGGTGGCTGGGGCTGATGGGTGTTGGTCTAGCAGTTAGCTCTCCCACTCTCACTGCCTTTGCTCTGCCTTCCTCCCAAGTGGAGTAAGCCAGGTGGAAATGACCATTTGTCACTCACTCCCAGCAAAAGTTGTTGCTACCAATTTTAGAGCTATCCAGTTGCGCTATATAATCTGACCAGGCCCCTGATGATATATGCCTTAAGAGCATGTACCACGGTGCAGTTGCACCAGCGACAGTTCTGCCACTACAGATATACGGAATGTATAGTCAAATGGCCAGACACCCCAGGACTGCTGGTTCTGTGACAAGCATCTTGGTGAGCCCTGAATAAGACTTAAAGATAAAAAAGATACAAAAATCCTGTATTTAAATCCTGTATTTGAGGGCTCCAAGCAGATTAAAGTTTCAAAGTAGGAACAGCCTTTATAAGGTTCCCACACTTCCCTGTCCATCTCTGACTAACTCACAATATAACAATTCTGTATTAAACATATACATTAAAAGAAGGATGTTTTGTTACCTGTAGTGGCACCAGATTGTGTAGTTGAAGCTGAAATTCAAAGTGACATGTTAGTGATTCAATTTAATATGCAAAAGTAGTAGACAGATTATAAAATGCAAAGGCTATCAGTTAACGTATTACATTATGGTCAGGTTGACAAATCTTAACTAAAGGGGAGGTCCATTACAAGGCTAATATACCTTACATTGCTGTAAAAAATAGGCTATGCTTTTTTTTACATTTTCATTTTACAGGCTCCAAAAAAGGTCAAAGAAAAATCCAATGCATCCAAAGAGTTAAAAACAAAAAACGCACGGTTTGTAAAAATTCAATCCACTCTTAAACAGAATGTTCAACTCAATTAGGGGAAATGCTGGTTTCCCCCGAGCAAGTATGGAGTCCAGTATTTCTACCATTCTAAAACCAGGGAAAGATCCAAAACTGGTCATTAATTATAGGCCCATCTCCACTATTAATATAGATATTAAGTTTTTTTAAGATTTCTGTTGTCTAATTACAAATTAAATCTTTCTAAAACCCAAATTTTGACATTTTATATGACTGAAGAACAGAGAAAAGAATATAGGTGACTTTGGTCAATTCGATTAACATAAAAAATTTATATATTATTTAGGAATATACGGCAAACTCTTGAAATGAATTAGGAAACCTTGTGGGAGGAACTTAACATATTATTGACTCAATGGAAGAGATTGGAAATCTCATGGTTGGGGTGTCTTGGTGTATTAAAATCATATGTACTCCCAAAACTTCTCTACTTGTTTAGAGCAATACCATACCAAGTCTCAAACTCTATTCTGAAAAAAAAATTGACTTGCTATTTTCTAACTTTGTTTGGGCATCTAAAAACCCTAAGATCCCAAGCACAGTTCTTAAGAGAAGCACTTTACAACATGGTTTAGTATATCCAGATATATATCGTTATCATGATTCATTCCAACTTTTCCATATGATGGCATGGAAAAGAAGGAAGAAGGTTAATATTGGTTAATATAACATTAAAAAATATATAATAGGAACCTGTGAGCCTTATTTATTGTGTTCGTCCTCTCCTAAACTATAAAAAAAAAATACAACTAATACAGCTACAATCTTTACTTGAACACTAATACAGCTGTCTAATAAAGCAAATCTACAAGATGACCACAAAAGAAGTAGAGCTCAATAGCTCAATCTGCAAGAAAAGACAGCTGATCCCCAAAAGCCTAAAAATCTAAAATCCACTTGTTACTGTGCACAAATCGCAGTATGCTGAAAACCTGTGTAAACGCACTAGTGAGAAACTAAGAAACCATCTCATCTACCAGCTCTACAGCAAGAAATATAGCAGCCAACATAAAAAACAATACTCCAAAATCTATGTGAGGAAAATATATAAATTGCTGAACAACTAGAACATGATCTATACTATTTTTACAAAAAGCAACAACAGGACCTTTTTAAGAAGAAAAATAATAAACTCATCAGACTTCAGCACTTCTGCCGCTACAGATATAGGAAATGTCGGGCATAGATGAACAGACACCCCAGGACCACTAGGCCAGTGACATCATGGTTGTCAACCCGTGATGAAGCTCAGACTAAACTTTAAAGATAAAAAAGATACAAAATCCCTCATCCAAAAATTGTCCCATATTCATTCTTTGAGGGCACTAAGCAGATTTAAGTTTCAAAGTAGGAACAGCCTTTATAACGTTCCTATGCTTCTCCTGTCCATCTGTGGCTAGCTCACAATATAGAAATTCTGTATCATACATATACTTTAAAAGAAGAATGTGTTATTACCTGTAGTGGCACCAGATTGTGTAGTTGAAGCTGAAATTCAAAGCAACAGATATGTTAAAAATTCTATTTAATATGCAACAGTAATAGGTAATGTTAGATAATGCTGACATTCTCACACACTGACACACAGACATACATAATAGGCACACAGACTTACATGCTGAAATGCAGATATACATACAGACACAAATAATGACTCACAGACATACACACTGATACACACACTCATAGTGACACACAGAAGAACATATATATACACAGACACACAGACATACATACTGACATTCACACACACACACATGGAAGTCACCAATGGGCCTCATCAGCATGCAGGCCCAGGTACAGCTGTACCAGTGGCACTTCCGCCTCTACAGAGTCATGTCTACAAATGCTCACAGTTTAGGGAATACAATTTATAAACTTGTGGCTATAATGGCAACTGATAATGTAGATTTAGTCGCTGTTACTGAGACATAGTATAATGAGAAAAATTACTGGGAGAAAGCAATACCAGGGTACTCTTTATATAGAAAGGACAGGGAAGGGAAGAGAGGGGGAGGGGTGGCCCTGTATGTGAAGGATAGCATAAAATATAGCCTAATAATTTAGTGAGGCAAACATAGAGTCCGTTTGGGTTATGTTAGAATTTGATAATCACACAGTAACTTGTGTAGGTGTGATTTATAGGTCCCCAGGACAAATAGAAGAGTTAGATAATCTACTAGTTGAGGAAATAGCTAAAATGACAATAAAGGGGGAAGTTATCATCATGGGTGACTTTAGTCGTCCTGATGTGAATTGGAAACCAAAATAGCTGCTTGTGCTAGGAGAACACATATTCTAAACTCCCTACTGGGATTGTCTCTAAAACAAGTTGTTGAGGAGCCAACTCGTAAAGAGGTCATAATAGATTTAGTGTTAACAAATGTTGATTTGGTTTCAGATATTACTGTAGGTGAAAGTTTAGGATCCAGTGATCATCAGTCAGTGTGGTTTAATATAAGAACAGTGACTGAGTCACACCACACAAAAACAAAGGTTTTAGACTTTAGAAAAACAGACTTTTTTAAATTTAGAATATGTGTAAAGGAGTCATTATCAGACTGGAGCAATTTAAATGGAGTCCAAGAGAAATTGGATTATTTAAAAGTTGCACTGCTGAATGCAACATAAAATTGCATTAGGCTTGTCAGTAAAAGCAAAAAATTTAAGAAACCACTGTGGTACTCCACAAATGTGGCCAAAATAGTAAAAAACAAAAAGTTAGCATTTAGTAATTATTAAAAAAAAAAACAGTGAGGAAGACAGAATGATCTATAAGATTAGGCATAAAGAGGCTAAGCAAGATATAACAGCTTCCAAATCACACACAGAAGAGAACACAGCACAGTCAGTAAAAAAGGGGACAAAACATTTTTTTGATACATATATGAGACAAGGAAAGTAAAACAAGGATTAGTTAGATTAAAAACAAAACAAGGAAGGTATGTAGAAGAGGATAGGGTCTAGCTGATTAATATTTTTGTTCAGTGTTTATAGATGTCAATGAAGGAAAGGGGCCTCAGTTAGGAAAAAGGACAAATGAGTAATTTGTTACATCTGAATTTACAGAGGAAGAGGTTCTATTTCAACTGTCAAATGTAGAGACAAATAAGTCAATGGGACCTGATGGAATACACCCAAAGTTATTAAAAGAGCTTAGTGGTGTACTAGCAAAACCATTAACAGATTTATTTAACCAATCATTGTTAACAGGAGTAGTCCCCGAAGATTGGAAGTTGGCGAATGTTGTGCCCATTCACAAAAAATGTAGTAGGGAAGAGTTGAGTAACTATAGGCCAGTAAGTCTTACTTCAGTAGTGTGGAAAGTAATGGAAACCATGTTAAAGGATAGGATTGCTAAACATCTAAAATCTCATGGATTTTAAGATCAGAGACAAGATGGGTTTACTTCAGGTAGATC